ATTTTGCCCAGTACCAGAGAACCAGTTAACATGAAATTTATAAACCAAGATGAGGCTAGCCAGAATAAAAGGACCAACAAGTGGGACAGATTTTTTTTCTGTCTCAAAGTATCTTTCAGTGTTACAAGCAACATACAAGTTTGCCAGAACTAATAGATCAAAGAGGGAAAAAAATTCTTACTAGCTTGCTTACTTGATCTTATCAAAACGCTGGTTTGACAGCACTGTGAGCATTGTTTCACTGCAGTGCTCCCTAAACTTAACAAAAAGTCTGTTACCTAATCATCAGTATAATTCATAGCTAAATAAGCGGAAAGTAATTAAAAAATTAGAAAATTTAATTGTAAAAAACCAAAAACAAACAGATAACTCAGAAGAAAAAGGTAGGACCTGGAACTACTTTTAAGTCCTTTTCAAATAGTCTATAAGGCAACATTGACAGCCACTCTTCAAACATCCAAGCATAGCTAAAGACAGCCAGTAATTTAAAAGTAAAGTTAAAATAAATGTAAATATTTTAAAATTCAAAAGTGTTCATAATATGGAATTTTAAAACAATGATTAAAAAAAAATCTTGACAGTGTCCTTTCAAACAAACTCTCCAGAATTAACTTTAGCACAACCCTATCTTTCCAAACTCTATCATGATTTAGGAGCAGTAGGTTTTTGCAGAAGTCAGTTATAAAGTGGTGTAAGCATTCTTTCACTGTCTTATTTCTAGCTAGGCTCTCATAAAGGTCATTTTCTATTAACTGAGTTGGTCAGAGAATGAAAGTCTATTGCTGCTAGTTATACTCTTTTGAATTTGTTTCACTTACATTTCTCCTCAATATATAAACCTGTTTTAGCATTCTTGTACATTAATGTCAGGATTTCCACCTCTAGCTCCCACAACTTTAGAAATAATAGGAATAAGTCAATCAGATTTGGTATATGCCCTGAAATGGGAAATGAACAGTCTGGACAGAGCGGGGATCCAAGTTTTCTGGATCCACAGAGGCCTTAATCCAAAATGGTAGGAATTTTTTGCTTAAAAAGCTTAAGTTGTTCAGTTTAGGGAAAAAATGGGAAAGACCTTTGAAGAAGAGACAGAATAACATGGAGAGGTACAAAAATATAACATGGTTCACTACCTTGTAAAGCTTTAGAGAACCCTAAATGGTTTGAGCGGTTTTTTTTGCCCACCCCTTAAATTCCAAGGTTGGGAGGGATCCAAAAGGTCAGTTTAAGAGTATAGGAGGTAATAAACCATCATGTAGGTAGAAGCCTAAAGCAAAGATGTGTTTGTCAAGGACTTCAGGTTTTCATGAAGCATTACTGAAAAAGTGTGTGTGTTACATTGAGTAAAACGCATATCTACCAAATCGTCAATGACTAACAATAAAAGTTACTTGGATATGAAAAAAAAATCACTTCAGTTGGTAATATCATTGCTCATCCTTTTCCTCCCTCTTTCCATCCCCCCTTTTCCCAAATTCAGTTTGCTTTTTTTTCCTTGGGAGACATATAGCACCACTGCATTAGAACGTACAAGAAATGAAAACAGTGAGTACAACTGATATAGATCCATTGACATTTTATTACAAATGTACTTGATCACTTGGCTTCAATAAAGTTTAAATCAATACCCTATTTTCTGTATGCCAGTACAAAGCAAAATCTATTTTACAAATTAAATACCTAAAAATTTGACAAAAATATTAAAGTTTGATGGAAAAACAGTTATAAAAGTTTAAATCCCCTTTTAAGAAGGTAAGAGGTAACATCCCCTCCCAATCCCACAGTCCTGTTATACAATATTAATAAGTCATTTTTAGAATAGGTAGGTAATGTTATATTTTGCTGTTAGCATACACGTCAAACTAATAGCTTTATCTGTAGATACTCCAGTTAGTGCATGAATGCCATCTGATTGTAATATAATCCACTATCTTTAACTGAATCCTAATTTACATTTAAGAGCTTGCATAGTTTGAAAGGGTTAAAGGTTACACTACAGCTAATCATAAAAAGGTGGTTACAGTGCTATTTTAAAGGCAACAAAGTAATTGCTCCCAAACAAAGTTATCAGTCTGCTGTAAGCAGGGGTTAAAATTACCAGCAGCTTTCTGCCTTGCCTGATATGATTATTATCTGTTTTGCCACCTGAAGTGGACAGCCCTTCTACTCTTTACAGTTGTAAAGTTCTATTTTGTACTACTTCTCAAAGAATGCTACACTGAGTAAATTTCAACCCCTGCAGAGAATACACAAAAAAGTGACACTGTCAAGTATTTTTTTTTTTAAATAAATGGTCAATTTTAAAAAGTCTCCATCACGTACAATGCCCTCTTCCATCACTCCTATACTGGATTTTCCTATTTGGCAAATAGCTAAATTCCACCCCCACCCCCCCATACATATACTTTCTATAATGTAAAAGTCATCTTAGCTTTATTTGTAAACTTCCTCATAATCATAGGCATTCACATTGATTTCGGCACAGTTCTGGTTTGTCAGT